CATTTTGTAAAACAAACTGCTCAAAGAATGCCAAATAAGCATCCAACTCTCTTCAAGCACACAAACATTTTTGCTAACACAAGATCTGTTGTGAAGATGATATATATCTGCGAATCCCTTTTGGTACCTCACCGACAAAGGGTCACAATTTTTAATATTTATATCTGTCATAATTTGCGAAACAAGTCAGCGATTCTTTACAACTTGCTATATCTACATATTTCTCTCAATCAGAAACCAGAGATGAATATTGAATTTATGATTTCCCAGAAAATGGGATATAAATGTTCAATTTTTTTGGAATTTTTCCCATACTAATATTTGTATTTGTATGAACATGGAATACATCCGCCGACTATATCTGGTACCTCACCCACATTTTGACATTTTCTAAAATTTCTCATATAAAGTGAAAGAAGTAACCATTATAGTCCCAACATGGGACGTCGCAATATCACGCAAGTCAAAATATATTATCAAATAAACGATCAGTGGCTGAGGGTAAGTCGGCAAAAACGACGGATACTTTTTAACTTGTTTATTTTTTATCAAAAGGTGTTAAAACAGCGTTGGGGCCATCTCCCTGCTTACATTGTTGCATCCATATACATATATATATTAAATAGAGGGGAACAAAATTCAGAGTTCAGAACAACAAAGGATTGCATTGTAATGTTCTTAACCACTTTTGATGGGCAATAATCAATCTTCGAGAAGACATTCATACATACATACACAAATGCATAACTACCACGTGTAATTGTTGAATATGTATGAATATCAAGTGTCCTCAAAACAACAACAAAATATAAAATAATAATAATAAAAACAATAATTGCGGTCATTAATCATCATCGTCATGACCACAAACGAAAAAAAGAAGAAAACACAAAAACAGAGTAATTACAATCCGCACCCCCTTTACCCATGAGCCCCTTCCCCCTCTGTCGTATAACAATAACAAACAACATTACACACAACTGCCTCATTGCAGGTTTGAACTTAGGGTACCTTTCTTTTTCTCTTCTTCGTTGTTGCTGCAGTTGTTGGATTTGATTGCAGTCATTGTCTTACGACAAGTACTCTTGGGTCGCCGCTGTTGTTTGCTCGTATTGTATATGCTTTCATGCCAACAACGACAAAAAAACTACTTGTAACTCCAAACTCCAGTAACAACAATAAGACATCGTCATACAAACCTTCTTGCAGAACAACAATGCCTCCATAAACAACTTTTTATACCTGCCTCCACTCTTCACCCAATTGTTCAGATTGGAAGACATGACTCATCATCTTCTTGCGCTACGTACCGACCGGTTGCACCAATTCTTTAGGTGAAGTGAGTTTATGTGGATGACAAACAGATGTGTTTGCTATGGTACAATATACATTCACACACTTACCTACATAGTAACAATCTTCTTCTTTGATTTAGTTTCAGGCCAAAAACAGAAAAACAAGAACTCGATAAAGAAAAACAAGTCTGAAGGGGAAACAATGAACGATCGACATCAATCGATCGCAACTCCAAATAAAGTACGATTTTGCGAGGTCATGATAAAAAGTTATACGAAACAAATATATTGGATGGAAAATGATAAAAGGAAGACTAATTATGAGCGATGAATGGGTCCGTAAACATACAAAAAAACTTATAATAACCTGGACATGTACTGAAGAGTCCAAATTAAATCTATTGTCGAATTACAGTAGATTTAGTTGGAAATTGTTATATATGAGACCAACCTGGTAAGGTTAATATCAACTGTTAACCAATAATATTGAATTACAACTAATTCGGACTATAAAGGCGATCGAAAACATTTAAAAGAGAGAGTACAATTTTTTGGGTACCACACCTCAAAACCATTCTGCCCCATAATTTCGAAGCTATAAATTAAAATATCGCAAATTAAATAGACAGACGGACATCTTATAATAGGTTTAAATTAACATATTAAATCATTTAATGTGTTCTGCTAAATAATGCTTATGAAGCTAGATAAAAATTCATATATCTCCTTCGAAGAAATAATCATTGATCCTTAGATCCGAGTTTTTGAGAGAAGGAAAATGTTGATGAGGAAGTATGACGAAATTGTTTATTCGGAGATTGAGATTGAGAGATATGAAAAACATGGATCCGTATAGACAATACCCTTCGGTAGGAACTCTAAGTAGGAAACTCAAAGTATAAATTTTGAGTAATTCTGTAAAAATCATTTTGTTATTAAATATAGTATTGTTTCCTTGTATGGGGGGAAATTCCAATGAAATGACTAGTTCTATTTACCCACTATAGGTTCAGACATCAAAATACAGAAACTAAAATCTATATATGTAAAAAAAACTTGTTTCAGTTACCACGCTTATATCGCAAGAACATCTGGCCTGATTTTGGCAATTTCGGAATGGTCTCTTGGCCGAAGACGAAATACGGAAATAAAAATGTGAACAACAAAGTATGGAGTATTAAGTTTGTAATTCCGTTTGTAACACCTCGAAATATACACAAAGTATATACACGGTGAGATAAAAAAACTGTAAACAAAGTAAAACGCCATAATTTTTGTTTATTGTTTTTAAATTTTATTGAATAAAAACAAAAAATGTCGGAAATAGCATCAAATTTTAGAATAAGTTTAGATTTGTTCGAATTGGTGACCTTTGGCACGAATTATAGCCTTCAAACGGTCAATGAAACCGTCAGCCCATTCCCGGCGAAGCGCTTGCTTGAAGTGATCGACACTTTGGTATTTTTAAGTTCCAACCTTGCGAAATACTCCAGACACAATAGTCCAACGGATTGGTATCCGGAAATTTTGGCGCGTGCAGAATGCAATGGAGCTGAGTACTGTTGGGATGTCCAAGGTCTGAGGCCAAAATGTTTGCGTGCCCAAGGCTTGAACACACCCTCCAGAATACTTTCGCGATAATATTCGGCACCTATTCTGTTGCCACGGTCGATTACTACGAGCGGAGAGCGACAAACGGCTGTTATGGCGGCCCACACCATCATCATGGCCTTCGCTTGAGTTCTGGTGGCTAACCGTCTGTGGAAATCACTTTAGCTTTCGAACGAAATGAAGTAGGTTAATATAATTTTACTCAAATGTGTATTATATCTGCAGGACTTTTGATATTGAAAATGTCATGTAGGTCCACGTTTTGGTATAGCCTCCATACAACGAACCTCCCGGAATTGTATCAAATTTGGTATTTAAAGTTCGTAATGGATACTAAAGCTTATGACAGCAGATTTTTTGTGCAGGTCTACGTCTTCTTATAGCTCCCATATAATGGTACCTACCAATATTCGGTATTTTGGTGATTTTAGCGACATTATTCACCGGAATTATTTCAAATTTGGCATTTGAGGTTCATAATGGATACTACAGCCTAAGACAGAAAAGTGTAAATCCATGTCTTCGTATAGCTCCCATATAATAGTACCTCCCGATATTTAGTATGTAATTGATTTTAGCGACATTATTCACCGGAAATGTTTCAGATTTGGTATTTGAAGTTCGTAGAGGATACTACAGCCTAACACAGAAAATTGTCTGTGCAGGTCCACGTCTTCGTATAGCCCCAATATTATAGTACCTCCCGATATTCGGTATTTTGGCGATTTTAGCGACATTATTCACCGGAATTGTTTAAAATTTGGTATTAGAAGTTTGTAAAGGACAGAAGACAGAAAATTGTCTGTACAGGACCAGGTTTGGTATAGCCCCCATATAATAGTACTTCCCTATATTTGATGATTTTGATTATACAGGTCCATGTCGTCGTATAAACCCTAATATTACGGCTATATTCGGTATTTTTAAGTTTTTAACAGAATTTTTAACGGATTCTATTTTTTGAACATTGCCAAATTCGTTCCAAATGGTGGAGGTATTTAAAGTTCGGCCCGGTCTTACTTACAGCTTTTTACTTGTTTAATTTTTCTTTCTTATGTTAGTATTCGGTTAGTAGATCAAAATCCCAAAATGGGTTTTGAGTTCCAAGCCCAAATTTTTCGGAGGCCATAATGTAAAGCCTTAAACATACAAAAAGCGCCTCAATTATTTTGCTCTATACTTCGCAGAATTTACTATATAGAGTTTAAAATTTGATATTGATTTGGTCCTTATTTGTCATTTTGGATTCTAAGGGAGTAGAAGAAAGTTTTCATTGTAGATCGATGTTCAGTGTTCAATCAAGGTACCTCCTGATTTTACCATATCGAAAGTCTTCACCACATTTTCCAAAGAATTCGGCTAAAAATGTGTATTTAGGCTACTTTGGGGGTAGAAAATCTTAAACAAAAATTTCAACATTGGTACATATTTTAGTATTGTCGCCATATAACAGTACCCCAGGTCCACCGATTTATAACCCATTGGCGGACAAATGGACGGACATTGTTAGGTGGACTTATGAGGACTCTCTAAGCCACAATTTGAGGTGCTATGGTAATGGGTAAAAGAGTAATTAACTTTGACTATTCCTTAATCATTCTTCCCTTAATTATGAGATGTACAAAACCGAGCAACTTCGAAATTACAGCTCATTTGACTGGAAAATTTTGCTTAGATCTTTACAAAACCTAAAATAGTTGATATATACTTTTTAATTACACACACTTAGGCCCCTAAATCTCACAAATAGGAGCAGGTTTTTTTAAACACTTAAAATCGACTAGTATTTTTATTGGGGAACGATGATGATGCTGCTGTTGACGACAAAAATGATATCGATGACGATAGTGATGATAATGACGCTGACGCGATGAAGCTGATGGTGAATAGATTCATGTGTATTGCCAGCACTTACAAACTACCGAATGTCAATTTTGTCTGTCCATTGAATGGTCATGTCTATATCTCCTTGTGGTTTTCGTCATGGACCGCTCTCACTCCTTAGCAATTCTAGAATGTAATATCAACAGAAATATTGAAAACACAAACGATATACACACTCTATACCCAATGCTTCAAAAAAGTATCTATAAATGCATGCAATTATTGAACTAAAAATTCCAAATTCCAGTTCTGCGATCTTTTATTAAAGGCAGTGTCTGGCCATTGCTTAAAATGAGAAAAAGGTGTTCCTGCAGCCTAACAGCAGGATCACTAATCTAAACACTTTATTGCAGGGTAGAAAATATTCACACCCCACGAAACCAACTGCAGTGCATATTGCACCATATGCAAACAGACTCTTACAGATGGATCTTCGACGGTTTGGCCTGCAGTGAGCAGGCGATGTGACGAATCCTGTTGAGATGGTTCTTTTGTATCTTCCTGACACTCCTTCCAATTAAACGATCTTGTTTATGCCATAGAAAAGATCCATGGGGTTGTCCCTAATCCCAAAATTGTTAGTTTCAAATTATTATTATGCGTTAAAGGACACATCAAAAGTCATTTCGCACCACACCAACTGCAAACGACCTTGAATTTCATCGCCGGATTTCGGAAAAATATATATTGGTATATTGGTATCCAATTGGTACGAATAAACAAGCAGATTTCGTAATAAAATATTATTTTTTAATTGGATTTTTAATACTTCAATTTATATTATAAGATATTTGCTTCAGCAATTTTTGTCAGATAGGTTTGCAGGTTTGACATGTCAAAGTATTTAGTCACTAATTGATTATCGGAGAGAAAAAGAAGACTCAAACAAAATGGGTCATCAAGCCAGTAAGGAAAAGTCAAAAGTCGGGCGGGGCCGACTACATGATACCCTACACCACTATGCATATTCAGTAAAGCTCCCGTAAAAAAGAATTTATTTGAAGTAAGTCATATCACCTATCAACATTTGGCTTTAGATCGGTTATAATTTGGTTGCATGTCAATATATTAATTCCGAATTTAGCAAAGATAAACTTATCGATCTTCCTACCCTAGAGAAAAGGAGATTAATGCTTAGATGTATTTTTATCATCAAACTTTTGCGTGGTCAAATTGATTGAGATTGAGTTTTTTACTGATGAAATTAAATTCAATGTCCCCTCGCGAAATACGCGTTATTACATACCTCTTAAACTAACATTAGCAAAATCGAACTAAGAAATAAATAATCCTCTTCGAATTATGTGCTGATTATAATAAAACGATTTCTTTGTGTGAACCCTTGCATGTCATAAAAAACTCTATCCTACGTTCTTAGTTTATAAAATTGTTGCCAGACTTAGTTTCTGTCATTTAGTATTTGTATTGTTTAGTTTAGATACTTTAATTCTTTTTAATTGTTAAACCGGCTGATGTTCTAATGTAGCCGGTTTCCCAAGTCTACTAACCCCCTATAATCCGGACTATGGGGTGTACGTGCTCCCTAAGTTATGGGGAGGTGGCCCTCTCGGTCGGCAGGGGCGGGAAAGTGAGGCGTTGGGAACGATCGAAAAAAAATATTCCCGAGCTCTATAAGATATCTGGTACCAAATATTATTGTTGTCGAATGCATATTACGAATGAGAGGGACTTAAAGACCAAATCGGATGAAACATACATATAGGAGCTAAAGCTATATCTGAACCGATTTTCACCAAACTTGATGTACATGCTTCTAGACTAAATTTGGTCGGATCAGGCAAAATTCAGGTCATTTGGACTGATATTAGCTATTTGGTGCACAATTATCGGGATATCGGTAGAAGATTTATATGGGAGCTATATCCAAATCTGAACCGATTTTGTGGAGTTCATATTACGCATGTGGGGGTCTTAAGACTCCAAATCGGATGAAACATATATATGAGAGCTATAGCTGTATCTGAACCGATTTTCAAATTCGATGTACTTGTTTGTATTCGGTGGGATGTACCAAAATTCAGGTCATTTGGACTTGTATTGGCCATTTGGTGCACAACAAACCCGAAATTGGTTGAAGATACATGGGAGCTGTATCTAAATCTGATCCGATTATCACCAATTTCAATAGGGTTCGTCTTTGGGCCAAACTAAATATTGTTTGGAAGATTTCATCTCAGTCGGATAATAAATTTAACCTCTATTTAATTTACAAAAGTACATGGACAGACGGACTGGCATGCATAAATCGACTCAGGAAGTGATTCTATGAAGGTCCCCAAAAGTAAGTATGGGTCTATCTCGCTTCCTTCTCCACGTTGCAAACAAATGCACAAAGACATAATGTAGGGTATAAAAATAGTTTTTGGAAGAAAATTGTAAGATGTAAACAAATGAACTTCTGTAACAATTTGCGACAATTTTTACAAATTGTATTGTAACCAGAAAGACCTAATATTACGGCATTGTCAATATTTGAAAATGAACAGCATTGACCTAGGTTTAGCCCTTCAGAAGTACCCACTTTAATTTGCCTTTTGCGTTTCAATAAATTGTAAAAAACATATCCCATAAAACAGTACCACCCAATTAGAGTTGTTTCAAAGATTGTAAATCCATTAAAAGCAGATTTGTTGAATTTAGTGAGTGGTCAATAAAAAAATTAGAAAAATTACATAGTACACATACATATACATATATACATGCATAAGTATGCACTCGATATTAACTCAATTAACTCACGCCAATAATATCTATAGCTTACTTCGTTTACCTTTTATCAGTAGGCTTGTATATATTTTCTCCATTCAAGGCTAACATTGGTAAAGTTATTACAATCATCAAGGCTATTAAACAATTAAACAAAACTTCTTCCGGACATGGCGCAGGGGGTGACTAAAATAACAACAACAACATCATTTTACACAGCAAATCGATTTTAATTTAATATCGTTGTCATACAACAGCAGTCAGCAACAAGCATAACACTAGCAACAGCTGAGCGTGATGAGTGGTGGCGATCAGCCAACATTTAGCCTGTAGTCCCGCCGCTGTTGATCGCTCTTCAGATGTGAACGAACGAGCAATGAAACGTTCGTTGATGAGGTGTTTGTTGTCGATGACTTACTCAGAGCAGAGGGGGCTTTTTTGTTGTCCGTTAAGTTGTCAGGCTGTTGCTAAGGTAAAATGTTTCAATTTTATAAATATTTGTTGTTGTTGCACTGTGTTGTCAGCAGTGATTGTTGTTGTAACCGCAATGTATATGAGTGTGTGTATGTCAGATTATATGCAAGCACATATAAACATATATACCCATGTATAATGTCAGACTTTGTTGTTGTTGACTAAAAAACAATATTAACTAAAACAACAAAAACATATGCAATCCAACAACAAAGAGAAACCTTGTCGTTGCAATTACCACACAAAAGTGTTTCAAAGTGTGGTTGCCATACACGGAACATGAAACACCAGTTTCTTTGTTGTTGTTGTTTTCATTCCTGTTGCTGCTTCTGCCGGTGACGATATGAGCAATATTGCAGTTACACTACTGCTTTTGGTGAATACGCAGACACACACACATCGCTACACACTCTGTGGACTATGTCAATCCATTCGTATGACTAAAGAATTGTTATCAATTATCAATTTAGTTCGATTCACCGTTTCGGTGTGCCCGACCGACCGACCAAACATTTAACGAGACCAAAGCACTCTTTATGGTTGTTATTTATATTGGGGAACGATGATGATGCTGCTGATGACGACAAAAATGATATCGATGACGATAGTGATGATGATGACGCTGACGTTATGAAGCTGATGGTGACGAGATTCATGTGTATTGCCAGCACTTACAAACTACCGTATGTCAATTTTGTCTGTCCATTGAACGGTCATGTCTATATCTCCTTGTGGTTTTCGTCATGGACCGCTCTCACTCTTCAGCTGTGTAAACACCAGCGATATTTATCATAAAAATATGGTCTATGATTGCGCTTAAAACGTTGTTAACGTCGCTCGTTTACACTGGAAGATTTTTATAGCCTCCACCACTCTGTTCATTTCGACATACCATGAAATATACATCGGCGACCTCGTGAAATAGGAAACGACATAGATTCTTCATTGGAGTAAAATTTTTAGTCGATTTGAGTATGTCCGTCTGTTTAATTCAAAAGCTTGTATTATATTTAAGGTAATTGACGTTGAAAAAGGAATATACGGGTTCACCTTAGAACGGTACCTCCTGATTTGTTGAACGTTTCAAGGGTATCGTAATATCGGTCGGGTTCCCAAGAGACAGAATGTTTCCTCTAAGGGTAATCTTATATAGTATAGCTTTTGAACGTTGGATGAAAATTTACCTTACCGAAAAGAACTACGCCTAAAAAATAATTTCTAAAAATTAACGAACTTAAATAGGCCTTTTAATGGAAAATGTGTTCATTTGAGAAAAAAAATATATGTTTTTCTTTTTCTTGTCTAAATAATCCGAAATAAACGCTTTGTTTAATTGTTTTCATTTACATTACCACACATGATTCACCCCCATTTCTTCAAATTCCCCCACTGTTCGGCATTTAGTTTGAGTTAAAAAACGAATTGTTTCCAGGCAATTGTTGATTGAAATTTCATCATCTCGAATTGGTGTCGTCAGATATTTCACAAATTTATTCATTTCATTGGAATATGTGATTTTATTCTAGTTTCTTTTTTTATTATTTTGTCCATTTGGCTTGACTTTTGATTTTCTGTTTTGGAGGCTAGGAATATTTGTTTGACCTATGACGTGTTAAAAGTAAACAAATAAATATTTTCGTGGATTTATACTTCCGTTTGTAGTGACATTTCAATGACAAATTTGTATGGGACGTTTCAGATTGTGAACAACTGATGGATATCTCCTAGGGTGTTTATGAATCACTTCTATAACGATCGTTAATGGTGTAAGTATATCTAATGGCCAATTTTAATGGGTATAATTTTGTACAAAGACATAAAAACATGCATAGTATTATGAATTTATTTTAACGTATTAGTGGTATATATTCAGATGTTCTCGACATCAACAACGTTATTTTATTTTATTTTTTTTTTGTGGAAACTGAACTCTACCTCACAGCATTCCGTTTTTGTTTCGAAATGTAAATGAGTGGAAAATTAGTCAGTGGATCATAAAACCTGTTCTAAATCGAGTTCTGACGTTCCTGAACGATCTAGTTTAAAGGAACTATTCCGCGATGAAAGGATCGGAACTATACCCCACTCTTTCGTTCATCTCATTAATTAAGTTGCTATCGTTAGAGCACCCCAACATTTAAATGTGAATAAATCTTTTGTGTCTCGTACCATCGCTCGTTACCGTGATACTCGTAGCGTCGCTCGACGTCAAGGAAGTGGACGGAAGAAAAGAGCAACATTAGCAGAAATGGTTCGAAAAGTAAAGAAGCGATTTGATCGAAACCCGCGTCGCAGTGGCCGAAAAATGGCTCGTGAGCTGAACATTTCGCAATATTCCAGTCAGCAAATATTGAAAAATGAGCTCGGGGTAAAACCATTAAAATTCCAAAAAGGGCAAGAACTTACACCGCAACAGAAAGAACATAGACTCAAAAGAGCTAGAGTTGGTTCGCTTGGGCGAAATTGGTGAACTGCCGAATTCGGTTTTCTCCGATGAGGAAACATTCGTTGTCCAGCAGTTTGTAAACAAACAAAATGATCGTGTTTACTGGCCAAAGAGTTGAGCTGAAAATGTGCACCTTCGGTTGGCCACCAGAACTCAAGCGCCGGCCATAGTGATGGTGTGGGCCGCCATAGCAGCCCTTGGTCGCTCTCCGCTCGTATCAATCAGAATAAAGGCCGAATATTATCGCGAAAATATTCTGGAGGGTGTATTAAAGCCTTGGCACGCAAACATTTTGGGCGCAGACCTTGGACATTCCAACAGGACTCAGCACCATCGCATTCAGCACGCGCCACCCAAGAATCTTTACAAAATGAGGTTCCTCGCTTCATTTTAAGCGCAAAATCTCCAGATACCAATACGTTAGAGTATTGTGTCTGGAGTATTTTGGAAAGCAAGGTTGGCACAAAAAATACCAAATTGTCGATCACCTCAAGCAAGCGCTTCGCCGGGAACGGGCCAAAATACCGCAGAGCAACATTCGGACAGCGTGTGACGGTTTCATTGCCCGTTTGAAGGGCATATTTCATAACTCATTCATTCAATAAAATTAAAAAAAAATTTAAAAATGATGGCGTTTGACTTTTGCATTTTTTTTTTGTCTCACCCTGTATGGAACAGTGTTGGCTTGTTTATTCGGGATACCATAGTATTTTGTTATTGCAAAATGGTCAGGCTTAATCCCTTTATTGTTGTTTTTATAAAAACAACGTTTGTTTATTGGTGGAGAACGATGGTAATGTTTACCAGGGGGTAAGGCAGGGAATACCGAGGTTTCGGAAAGTGTTACAAATCCTCATCAGTTCCCTTGTCTTTTGTCTGGGATATTCTCTCCAGAAGTTATTTTAAAAATAACTCCAATGACAAAAAAACGTTTTTTACCCAAGTGACCAATGGAAAAAAGTTCTGTACATAAAGGCTTTCAGCGGTAAAAAGATTTTCCACAATTCAAACATTCCATACTTCTCCGATACACAGTGTTATTTAAAATGCCAAATACAAGTAGTGCCTCAAGCATCAAGAAAGAAATGCATCGTTTTCACGGTATTCCTGGATAGCCATTCAATAAATAGCTGAAACTAAAACATTTCAAACCAACTTCTAAACAAGTAATCAAAGGCTATAGTCGGCCGGGCCCCCCATGTGATACTAAAATATGTTGGAAAACTACAATATATTGGAAACCTCTTTAGAGCCATAGAGTCCTGCACAAATTTTACTTTTGATTTTTGACTGGGGAAGATCCATTTATAGTTTCCTATGTTGGGGACCCAATATTTCGGGGTGTTACATACTTTTTGGCCCAATCAAACTTATAATACCCCCTTACACATAGTGTTGAAGGAGAATAATTATGTAGTATATTTTACATTTATTAAGTCTTAGATGATTAACACAACTTAAAAATATTGATAATAATACATCTAATGAAAAATTCCAAAAATGCACACGCGCATTTCAATATTCGCTGAACGGCATACAAAACATGTGGTCCTTGTTGTCTCTTTGTTATCTAGTTTCTCTATTAGCCCAGTGCATCATTCATTCATGTATTCTCGAAATATCTTTTCAAATCCTTACAAAAATCAATTTTAAATCATTGGTTTTCCGGCTTAACCTTATCCCCTCTTAACCCATAGGTTATTTGTTCTTTTGGGATTTTTCGAGAAAATTCGCCATTTACTTTTTTCAAATATCCGAAATATGGAATTCTACCTGCCAGGATCGTAATGTAAAAGAGAGGGAGGATTTTGAGCTGCTTAACAAAAACCAAAAACAAATCATCCCTTTGTCAATGGAAAATTTTTGCAAATCCATGGTGTGTGTTGCAGTAAATAGGCACAAGTCTCTTATTTAAAAAAAAAATGGTTATGTACATACATACATAGTTATGTGTATATATACATATCTGCTAATGTCGACATGTGTGGTGTGTGTGTGTGTCAACATGCAAACCCTTGTAAATCCTCTTACAAATAAAATTTCTAATTGGCATGAATGTATCAAAGCCAAGTCTCTAATTAGTTTGCCTGAGGAGATTTTTTGATAATTGAAATTTTGGCGAAATACAAAACGCACTAAATATAAGGCATATAAAAGGAGTAGTTTCGTGAGAAAATATTTTGAAATCAACCACAGAGAAGAAATGTATTATTGGATTGTTTCGTAAATAAGAACCTGAAGTAGTTTGGTAAGATGTCATTCATATAAAGTCTTATATCAATTTAGGGAACTTGAAGTTTTTTTATGCAGCGTAGAAGAATGGTGAAATTAATACAAGGTAGGCCATAACAATATACTCAGTCAGTTGTAAACTTATGTATGGATCCGTTACCCATTTTGTGACGAAATAAATCTTTAAAGATATATAGAAAATAATTTGGAAAAATTGACCTTCCATTCAATTTTTATACCCTCCACATATGTAGTATGGAGGGTTTTTTAAGTTTGTAATTCCGTTTTTAACTCATCGAAATAATCATTGTAGACCCAACAAAGTATATATATTCTTGATCATCGTAAAACTCTAAGTCGATTTAGACATGTCCGTCGGTTGTAATCACACTATAGAACAAGCGGCGTGAGACAGAAAGCTAAAATATTAAACAGAGTTGTCTTTGGTCTGCTGTCAGGTCAAGTTTGAAGATGAGTCATATCGGTCGACGTTTTCGTGTTGCTCCCATATATAGGTACCTCCCGATATTCGATATCTTGACAATCTTAACCACACTTTTTAACGGAATAGTTTCAAATATGGTATTCCGTTAAAAAGTGTGGAATTACTTACAATTCAGTTTATGGAATTGATAGGTTCTTCTGCTTATAGACAACAATTTCTATATAAGTAAAGGAGTTTCTATAGCCCCTATCCTATAGTTTCTATAGCCCTCTATACTTTTGTATAGGAATGATGCGTACCCTCGATTACTGTAATTTCGACATTTACAGACCTATGTTTACATGAGTTACTTTCCAAATTGTGAACGATATAAAAAGTTCGGCCCAGCCGAAAAACCCTGTTTCTTACATTGAGCGTATATTACCTTAGTCACTCCGTTTGTAACTACTCAAAATACACATATTAGACGCTATAAAGAATCAGCGTAAAATTCTACGTCGATTTATCGATGTTCGTCTGTCTGCATGTCCGTCTGTCTGTCACATTTTCTAACTAATTTGTATAAAATTTGGTATTTGTAGTTCTTAATGGGTTCTACTACCGGTGTCAAAACATTGTCCACACTGTTTCCACATAACGGTACCCACCGATATTCGGAATTTTGGAAATCCTAGTCACATTTATCAACAAAATTATTTTCAATTTAATTATTAAAATGAAATACGTTTGGATCCAGATACTTTTGTATAGAAATGTTTTCTTTAGCTAATGGTGGAGTGTATTTAAAGTTTGTTTTAAATTTTGCAAGGTCCTGGTGGGGGGTATCAGAAATTCGGCTGGCTTTTTACTTGTTTTAAGTCCCATTAAATTTTTAGAGAATGTTGTTGAAACGTGAGATACCAGATATAGTCGACCGAATTATTCAATGTTCATACTTCATCTAATACAGATAACAAACTTACAAGAAAATCGAACATTTATATGTAATTTTATGCAAAATTATAAATTCATCTCAGGTTTCATGGATATTCAAAATTATGACCCCTTGTGGGGGAGGTACCAGAAGGAGTGGACCGATATATCCCATCTTCACAGCAGATCTTGTGTTGGTAGAAATAATGGGATGTGTGAAATATGAAGAGAACTGGGTGCTTATGTCAGATTTTAGAATCGATTTGGTTATTCAAAACTTTTACCCTTTGTGGGGGAGGTACCAGAAGGAACAGTCCAATTTTAACCATCTTTGTGACAGATCTTGTGTTGATAGAAATATTGAGATGTGCCAAGTCTGAATGGAATCGGATGTTACTTCACGTTTTATGAGCTTCATGGCCCTTTGTGGGGGAGGAACCAGAAGGAGTGGCCCGATAATTGAATCGTCACACCAAACCTTGGGTTAATAAAAACATAAAAAGTGAGCAGAAGACCATGTGGGACCAGTAGTGGGATTGTCTAACTCATTTTTTGAGTTACCGACAAAACTCGTTAACTTTGAAGCTCCACATTTTGATAAAAAAAAACATTGGTATCTATCGGTAGGTGACAAAATTAATATACCCTCAATATCTTAGTTGGTGGAGGGATAAAAACATGATTTAAACTCAATTTCTTTATGGTGACTATTGCCTTCAGAAACTTGAAAACGAATAGAGATCTCGTTCACAGGCTAAATTTCCTTATGCCATTGTTTATCCCCTTTAAAAACAAGCCCCCTAACTGTATTTCTTCTAAACTTACCCCCACAATAAAAATATATTTTTATTTTTTAATTTTTATATCCATCCATTGCCTTTTTAGAAACCCTTTTGAGTTATCTAATAGAACAATTTCTGAACACATTTTATATTTAATTTTATTTTTTTAATTGTTTTTTTTTGTTTTGTTTTATTTTTGGTTACAAAATTAAGATCATGTGGTTTTTGTTGTTGTTGGATTTTTGTATTCTTTAAATATAAAAAATATTGAAACAAACTTAAAAATATTAACATTAATACATTTTCGATTTCATTTCCTGTTGAGGACATATTTCATCATCATTGCCATTGCTACTTATATTAAAAATAGAGGCAGGGAATATTTATGCATCTTCTTGTGTTTTTATGTTTAAATTAAAAATAATACATTTCATTATGACAAAAAGTTGACAAAAATTATTTCGTACACAATTAAAATAAATACAAAGTTTTTCTTTATAACTCTATAAATGGGACATTTATGGTATGTTCGCGTATCAAAACTGAATAAAAGATGATAGATGGCCAATAAAAAAAGAATATCATTTGAAAATGATAAAAATGAGAACATTATGGAAAATGGTTTTTAAAGAAAATAAATGGATTTCATTTCGTTTTGCGTTTTGTTTTTATGATTTTTTTACAAACTAAATGCTTGAACCTCTCCACATGGAGAGGATGTAAGCAAAATATCGCAGTTTCTTTCGTTTTTGTTTTGTTTTTTAAATTAAAGTACACAAGAACTTATAATTAATATTAAATAAATATCAAAAAATTTTGGAAATTCTTTGAATTTAGTCAAATCGACATTCGTTACTTGGATAGACCTACATGTTCACCCACAGACACACACATTGTGTGTGTTTGTGAATGATTCGAGGAGTATCGTTTTGGGGAAGGGGAGTACGTTTTGTTTTGCTTTTAATTTTAAGATTTTGTTGCAATTTTAACACATTTTATATTTCACATGATTTGTTTTTGTTTTAGATTAAAACTTAGCATCTTAATAAGTATCACATTCTTTTCATGAGTTTTGTTGTTGTTGCTTCGCGTTTACTAATTGGCAGCCTTGAGTTAAGGGATATGTGCAATGATATCCCAGAACTTGGGACGTTTTGACAAATTTTCCAGATAATATTCTGGATTTCTTACAACAAACATTGGGATTTGGTACAGGGTGGGGGTTCAGGGGTATAAAAGATATTCGATAGCTTAGTTTCATAATTAAATCGCACGAATGACAGACAACAGAAAAGAAGAACACAAAAAGAAACTTAAAAACTAAAGGAGACACAGTTCACGCATTGATATCAGGTTTAAGGGTTGCTGTTTGCAGAGATTTGCCAGCTGGGTCTGTTTTGTAGGTGGGATTATTGAGTGTTTTCAAGGTGGGTGCTGAGGGGTGGTGAATTTATGCTGTGGGCGTTGAAATGGCCTTAGAACTGGTATAGCTATAACTACTACTCATCAAGGGAGAGTATAGCTTGTTCTTGGTGATGTTAAATTCGGGACTAATGGTTATGGTACGCGACAGACCCTTCATAAACTGTGGCAACAGGGCGGTCCAGCCTCGATGATCCTGGCGCAAAGTCAAATATATCTCAAATGTAGATACTGTTTCCTTATCCAATTTGAGTGAGGCAATGCGTCGGGAATTATTCGGTTCATCTTCGAATTCGATGTAAATGGTGCAACCGCGCAGACCACATGGTTCCTTCTCCGATAGGCGTAAAATTTCAGCTGCAATGCGTGGTGTGAGATCACAGGGTAGTGAGACTTCAGTGCAAGATAAATGACGGCTCTTGGCGGCCCTTAGCTCATCCAGCAAACGTAGGGACAAGTCATTAATGGCTGTGGCATCGAAATCTTCACTGTAGTATATATTATTGTGGGTGGTGGTGGTACCCTGATTGCTGTTAGTGTTTTTGGGATTAGTAGCTGTTGATGCTAGCACTGGAGATGTTGGTGTACGCTTGCTTTGGCTTTCGGACAAACGTTTGTTCTTTTGATTGTTAATACTGCATTTCATTTTGTTGACGGTATTTGTTTGATTGTAGGGCAAATTTGTGGTGGCCTTGGTTGTGGCCTCTGGTGGTGGAGTTAAAGGTGAGGTCCAATCTGCAAATAAATAAAGGAAAATTTGAAAGTTAATAAAACCGAAATTGCTTGTGAAATTGTTTATCTTTGAAATCATGAATTGAAGTAACCCCCTTGAGAAAACTCATTCTCGAATGTTCGAGTTGTTTCTATTGTTGCAGTGATGGGTGTGTGCTTGTGTGTGCGTGGAAAAACGCACGTAGCACCACTCACTGCTTTTCTCCCATAGATTTTTTCATAAAAACAAAAGAAATCAAAGCTAGAGCTGGCACACACTACACTCTGTCTATACGCCAGACCACAATAGCTAGAGCTCACACGCTAAAAAAAAAAAAAAAAAAACAAATATAGTTTTTGTTGTTGTTTGCTAGCGAGGTCGTTACACACCAAACAAAAAGCACCAACAACAACAATATTGTTTGCTTGCTTGTAGTGTTTCTATGGCTCTTGACAACAAGCTAGCAAGCGAGCGAGCGAGCACATTGTACTTTAGCATGGAAACATGAATGTGTAGCGTATAAAGAAATTCAACAATGACGACTACGCGTTATGACTCAGGGGTTGGAAGTGGTGGTGGTGGTGGCGGCGTGTAACCGTTTTTCTTTTTGTTTTTTTTTTTAGTTTTTTTTGTTTTAATTGAATTGCCTTCTGTTTCACAAAACGTTTGACTAGATTTATTGTGGAAGGTAGTAAATTAAAAAAAAAGTAATTATACGTTTATGGCAATGGAGAAAGTCTTAATTATTTTTCACAAAGAATTGAGAAAATATGAAATTGAAATAAAATTTCATGATTTTTGTTTCTTCAAATTCTATTAGCAACAGCGGGTGGCACGAGACATAGAGTAATAAAACAACAGAAAAAGACGGAAACGGAAATAGTGTCATATAGATGCAAGGTAAAATAACGGTTGAAAATTCTGTATGAATACTGATTGAAACATGTCGTTTATTTATTACATTATGCCACCCAAGAATCTATCACCGTTATACCGTTGTCTGTTCAAGAAACACAAATGACAATTTGCCGTCGGCAAACGATAATTTCACAAAAATACTTTTCTGCTTGGTTTTGAAATCATTTCCGATACTTATTTTTTGAAGTAACCTCCTAACTTCAAACATTTTCAGATCATAAACATCTATCTAATATTCTGAAATTGAATTTCAACTTACCTCTGATTTTATTAGACCCCAAACCGGCAAAATCTGACGGATGGTAAAACTGCTGAACGGCTAAAATTTCCATTTTCATAATTTTCTTTAGTCGGTCGAAATCAACAAATTTATTTTTCAAGTTAATTGCAGTGAAGAAAAACTTGCACGGATTTTTATTTATTTTTCTTTGTCCGTTTTGATTCACGAAACTTCTCGAAGATGTTCATCGAGTTTCGAAATACCTTTAAATGTAAAGGTTTGCCAGACACAAGAAGTTGTTATGAACTGATTTATCACAATTATGCTTTTTTGTCTTTTGTTTTTATTTCACAACTTTTGTTAGATGATTGTGTTTTTGTTATTGCTGCAAAGATGATAACTATTTTCCAAAAATTAATTTTGTCAATCACAGTTCGTTATTATTATTTGTTTGCAGAATTATTAACTTTATCACAATTTTCTGTTAACACAAATGGCAATTGTTCCTGTTGTAGCTAGCGTTCTTCGTACATAGAACTCTTCTTAAATTTTTGTAATTTACGTTAAAAATTAATAACACAGATAGATAGAGATATGAAATGGCAGATGGCTTTTGCTTTGCGTATCTTCACTTGTTCTGTATCTGTATCATGTATCGAGAAGCTACTATACCACCGCAGCTGCCAAACAGGGTATTTATAGGCTAGTACTCTCTGACACACAAATTTCACTCAGTCGACTCTTTTGCTCTTGCTCTCTTATCCCGTTTGAGTTTTTTCTTTACCAACGCTCTCTGCAGTGAGTTTTTCTTGTACAGCAGAGAGTGCGAGAGAGCGATTGAGAAGCAACATAGGCACATACAAATTGTGGGTAGGTTTTTGTTGTTGTTAATCCCTCAGTCACATCGACACACAAACTAATGGTTTTTTTCTTACCTACTCCGCTGAAGAAATATTGAAAAACTTCTAATTCAGGTAGCTGTTACCCAGCCAGCCTTCTTCAAACAGCCATATGGGGATATCGGTAATTTTCCATAGTTTTTTATCCGAAATTCTAGTCTTGTTTTTCATTTTTCTTTTTATCTTGTAAATCTATAAAATATCAGCTGGTACAACAACACAGGGTCAGAATACTTGCACCCTAAATCACTTTATATTCTTTCTCCTGTTCTAATCGAACATTTCCCCGTCCAACTTTCCACAAAACCGGCTATGATTTCACAAAAAATTGAAAAAAAAACCAAACCTGTTCAATTTCCTTTTGACTCCTTCATCAACAACAAAGATTTTTCTTCATGCTCGTTCATGATTTTACAAACCAAGAAAAATCATAAATAAAGTCTGTATGTCAGAAAAAGAAGAAACTAAACTCGTATGATTTTGTTGCAACTCCATCCTTTACACCTCTTTCTCCCCTTCCAAACAATCATCCATACGTACTTTCATCATCAGATCACCCTTGCCGGTTTTGTTGGATTTTGCATGCTGCTAGCAAGTATATGCCGTTTATTCTTCAGTTCTTCCATTTAATGGTGTACGTGACTCCGTGCGCTCCGCTAAAACGGCAGAGAGGACGCATGTGGTGGTCGTTCGTGTTTTTGTCAGTGCAACCTAACGAACATGACAAATGGAAAATACACTTGAGTAAAAAAGTTTGCAAGAAATTTCACAATGTCATTTGTTATAAGAAAATTCCATTAACGGAACTACTGGAGAAAATGTGATTTACATACATATCTGCTAGTGCCTTTTCGATAAAAGTCATATTTTTTTGAATTTTATGTTTAGGTTATCTATGAACCTAAGGAACATGTGTAGCTGCCAACGAGATGACGCACTTATTTTTCCGTAGGTATTAGGTTGGAGATAGAAAGATTCTTGCATGAATCGTTGTGCAAGGACTAGGGTTAGATTAGTTTGAAAAGAGGGGCGAAACAATTCGACACATGCCCTGATGTACATACACCTACGCTCTACGTACGCTCTATACTAATGTTGTCTGTTATATTTGAAATTCAGTTTCCTTAATTATTTTATATCATTTACCAATAACTGATTAAGATCTTGTTCTATGAAAATGTGAAATGAAAACTTTTATAAAGGAAAGAAATGTCAAATGAAAAATATTATAAAGGAAATATTTTTCATTTCATATTTTCATAGAACAAGAATCCAGCCCCTGGTATGGAGAGAGAATTGAAAATTGGAATCTAATATTTGCAAACGCTGGGCATTGGCAGAGAAAATGTTCAAAGTTTCGTCATCTTCTCAGCATACCCTGCATCTGCACATCATATCTTGTACGGATGAGCTTGTAGTCCCAGGTGCGCCGTAAGGATGCTTGTTACCTCACTAATCTCCTTCTTACCTAGTAATAAAAGGTTCTTCGTTTTTATCTCATTGGGGTCGCCCCATAGGATTTTCGTTGTTTTCTTACTGTCCGTTAGGACGTTTACGGTACAATTAAGCCGGGTTAGACACTCTGCAATCGCCCGAACCTCCACTGCAGGATGATATTGTGATCGGACAAGCGGAAAGAGATGATGGTATTTGGTTCTTCAATAAAAAAAGTCCCGCTCTCCCTCATAGCAGTGAGCCGTCTGTATAACAACAGTTTCCGGAAATAATGTTTTACATGAGACAGGTACAATTTTGTTTTCAGATATCCGGTCCGATACAAAGTTTTCTATTGATTCTTCCGTTGTTACCTGTAAAATTTTTTGATGGTATGTAACGTGGCTTTTGCTTATCCACTCGTCCGTCGCCCTAAGTTTTATGGCCGCTTCATACCGTATCTAATTATCTATTGGGCGCAAATTAAGTACAAATCGAATATCAGTTCTATTCGATTTCTAAGTTCAATCGTTCCAAAACAGTAATACACATTCAAAAACGATTCCAAATATAAACCTATATTTATTCCAAGTAGAAGTGCTCAACATACATAGTAGTATCATATAGTCGACTTGCCAGACTTGAGCACTTTCCTTACTTTTAAATTCCAAACAAATATTTAACTTATAAACTATCTTAAAAGACTGAAGAAAAATACAAAAGTCGGCCAAGAAAATAATTTGGTTCCTTCAATTTTCCATTCACAATTAAACAACGAACTAAGTTTAAAATACAACGCCGTACATTTTTGGAACTTTGAAGATTCTGAATAGATCTGTGAAATTATTAAGAAAATATACAATTAAAATAAGCAGTTATATGCGAAGAGTTACAAGCGAATGCAATTGCACTTGCAAGCTGAAATACATATTATTTTAATCTTAATCCGGTATTAGATATTTGATTACAAATGGAGTCAATAAATACTTTTACAATTTCAATCCGAAGTGGCTGTTATTTGGTAATTTGTCGTTGCATATTATTTGGTGGTTTAAAGCCCATAAAGGGTACTTCCTTTGACATTTAAAATTGACATTTATCTACAAATTCAAATAGGTCAATTTTGGAGCTTTGTGCTTTCAAATTGTACTTTTCCAATAGCATACATTTACATTTTTTCTATTATTCGTTTTAATCATGGTAGAATCGAATAAGTATTTTCAAATTCAAAAATAAAGTTTTTGTTTTCAATTTATATTTATTTTTGAAACATAACTGACAACTTTTATGTGTTGTCAAATGGACAATTATGAAAAAATTGGAAACATATGATTGCATGACTTTACCTTCTTAGTTCTATCATGGTTTCAATTTTCAAGAAACAAAACAAAAAAATAATTTCTGTCAATATTGAACACTAGCTGAACCCGGTGCGCTTCGCTACCCCTTTTGATTTTATATGCATTCAAAATTTTATTTACGAATATATGTTGGATAAAGAAAAACAAATTTAAAAATTAAAAAAAAAATATTGCACTAATTTAATGCGTTAATAAACAAAATCATTACAAAAGCAGTAACATGACATGAATACACGAAGGGTTTGAACTTTGGATTTATTTATTTCATAGCAAATACCAAGCGTGCAGGAAACTGCAATTTTTTTAAGTAGAGTGGCATTTCTATTGCAGTTAGTGAATTCGAGATAGCAACATACTTCGCCGTAATAAGCATATTTCAAATAAATTGTTGTGTTGCTTTTTAGTGTTAGCCTAAGGCGTTGTGGGTCAATTGTTCTTATTAAAATCATATCCCAATCTGATCCGATTTAAATATAATTTTAAAAAAAAATACTTTTACACCAAACTCCGCCACACCTTTCATATTTCATTGAAATTGGTGCGTCAAATATGTGAAATCGGCCGAGAATATATATATGCGAGCTATATCCAAATCTTAACTAATTCCCAATTAATTTATCAAATTTATTATTATAACCAAATTCCGCCACACATTCTGAATTTCATTGGAATCGGTCATATATATCGTGTTTGGTGCATAATATGTATGAAATCGGACGAAATATATATGTTAGCTATATCCAAACCTCAACTGATTTCAATATAATTTGGCAATTTTTGCAGGTGCCAGATTTTGTCCCTCTCGCTTTGGGTGCATCAAATATGTGAAATCGGCTGAGTATATATATGGGAGCTATAATCACATCTGAGCGTATTTGAATATAATTTGTCAAATTTATTTTTGTACCAAATTTAGCCACTCATGCCGAATTTCGTTGGAATCGGAAATACGTATCGTGTTTTGTGCATCAAATATGTGAAATCGGCGGAAAATATATATGGGAGCTATATCCAAATCTGAACCGATTTTAATATAATTTGACAAATGTATATTTGTTTTAATTTCCGCTACACATTCCAAATTTCATTGAAATTAGAGATACATAGCGTGTTTGGTGCATCAAATACATGAAATCGGTCGAAAATATATATGGGAGCTATATCCAAATCTGAACCGATTTCAATTTAATTTGACAAATTCATTTTGGCTCCCAATTCCGTTACTTATTTTAAATTTCATTACAATTGGAAATACATGTCGTGTTTGGTCCACCAAATACATGAAATCGGCCGAAAATGTATATGGGAGCTATATCCAAATCTGAACCGATTTCAATATAATTTGGGAAATCAATTTTTTAGATAAAATCTATCACACGTTTCAAATTTCATTGAAATTGGGGATACATAGCGTGTTTGGTGCATCAAATGCTTGAAATCGGCCGAAAATATATATGGGAGCTATATCCAAATCTGAACCGATTTCAACATAATTTGACAAATTTATTTTCGGATTAAATCCCGTCACACATTCCAAATTTCATTGGAATCGAACATTCATATTGTGTTTGAGGCATCAAATGAACGAAATCGGTCGAAAATATATATGGGAGCTATATCCAAATCTGAACCGATTACAATATAATTTGGCAAACTTATTTTTGTTCCAAATTCCGTTACGTATTCCAAATTTGGAGACTGTTTCTTCAACCAATCAATAGATATGTGCATATAAAATCTAAATTTTTGGGAGGTACCTCCGATTCCGATGCTATATCTGCAGTTCCAAGTGGAAATTCAAAAATGTATATAGCCTATGTTACTTTCAGGCGATGTTGCAGTATATATGGAAATTTTCAGGAAAATCTATTCAGCGGTTTTCGAGTCCATAAATTACAAACAAACATACAAACATTTTCCTCTTTTATAGATATAGATCTTCAGCTTGAATTTCTTTGCCCTCAACTTATTTGGGTAGCGTCC